TATATGCTTCTCATTTTCGCCAATTCTCAAATCAAGGGCGTAGAATGGAAGAGAAGAACTGGCAACTCTCCGCCACTCTTTTTAATCGCCAAGTTTTTTGTTTTACACAACGTTTGTAAGGAGCTGCAACCATTACACCATATTCCACATGACATCTTAAGTAATAAATAATAATAAAATAAATTAAAAACAAAGATTTGTCCTCTATCAGCAGAAGGCATTGTGAAATAGGAGCAGGCACTTACATTCTGGTGGGCTATCCGGTTCTGTGCTGGCATCGAGGCCAAAGTAGCTAAGAACGAAGTTTGTAAATAAACTCAACTCATATATACAAACTCGACAGTCTTGTGATATTCTTTAGTTGGAGACTTGTTGGTTCTTTTTGCAGTCATTGGAACAGCAACATTCTCCTCCCACACCTCACTTTGAATGCTCTATATTTTGGCGTGTATATAAGTAAACATCCTTTATTTTCGTTAAAAACTTTGTGCCATCATAAAAGCTGCAAAAACTTCTCCAGATGAATTATAACTCATTCTAATTTAAATTAAGCGTATAAATAACAGCAACAAAGCCGCAAACGTGCAAAATTATAACTTAATTAAAGTTTATTTCAAGAAACAATATAGAACTCCACAACTTCACGGCAACTTATTAAGCGTTTTGTAAAAAATCACCGACCCAAGAGTTTACAGTTGAATGAGAATTTTTTGAATCGCCCCGTGATTCGCTTTTGTCCGCATCCTAGGTTATTCATATCGGCTCGAAATTGGCCTTTTTTCCTTTGTAGATGGAGGCTCAATAAAAAATCTACAGTTTGAAATCTAGTTATAGAAAACGATGTGTGCTTTTCGGCGTGTTAAAAAAACAACTGAACGATTGTTTTTTATCTAAAACTGGCATGCATCGCATTTTCACCATCATAGTATGGTGATATTGTCCTAGTATTGTATTAGGTAGAGATATTTAACCAGGTACAAGGTATCCCCTTGTATATTAATTTGCTGTAGTAAATCCCGAAATCCCCGCTTGGGCTCTCCTACTATAGGCTTCCTTAATAAATGGTGTGTCAAACATAACAGTTGTTCGTTGACTCTAACAAACAAAGTCTTGAGCTATATATGTAACTAACATTTCCAATCAACAAAACTCTAGGCCCTAATCATGCCATATACTAGTGTTAGAGGTACTGATCCAAATTTAAACATTTACATAACGTGATTTTTAAAGATGTTTGGAATGTCTATGAAAAACAATGCGTTGCTTGATTGATATTTGACAAACAAACGATGCGTTGCTTGACTAAGACAATTACAAATTAATTTAAATTAGGTCACTGTATTCCATCCACATTTTGTTAATAACAACCGTATAAATGTTAAGATTAAGACAGATTAAACGACGTAAATACCACGACCAGAGTCTGCTTTTCTAACATAAACGCCTTCAAGATTTCACAAGACATAAAGCTCACTGTTAACACAAGTCTTAACAGGGCGTGGCCCATTTTCTGTATATTCACATAGATTTGGTTTATAGAGCAGCTAAAATTGTGAGTATAATTGAGGGGTAGAATCTAGTAAAATATAAGCACTCCACGTACCGTACGTAAATACCAAGATCAGACAGGAGTATAACTTAGAAAACCTTCAGCTGCCTTTCAGTCATGGAGTCCCGATCGTACCTCTGATGTCTTGTTAAAAGATGCTGTAAGCTGATATGGTGATGATGATTAATGATGCTTAATTAAATAATGTCTCCAGTGTCTTGAAAGCTGAAAGATGCTTATTTAACTTAATGCTCCTTATTAAAGTAGCCTGAAAATGTTGTAGCTAATTATCAAATTTTTATTTCTTTTGAATCCAATTACAGATACTGAGAAACTTTTCCATCCATTCAATAGAACTTAATACTGAAAAACAATATTTTATGTTGAAAAGCTTACATATTCTTCGTCTCTCAAAACGTGTTTTATTATAAGTATTTTCCCATTTTAATTCAGTGAAAAGTTTTTTAATTAGACCATTTTGAGTCTTATGCAAGCTTTAAGAAACGGAAATCGAAACTTAAAACGAAAAAAATGGCTGGATTTTCGCACGAAGAAATATTTGTTTTTCTTAAAACTAATCGCCTACTTGCTAAAAACTAATGACACATAATTATGTGCAATATGTCTGCCATGAGAAGAAATAAAAGACGATCGAATGCCTTAATATGATCTGGGTATTTTCACGTGTCAGTAACGTGCTTTCAATGAGACTACCCGCTGGCACTAAAAAACGCACCAAAGAAGAAATATCATAGATGATTTTATTTACTTAGCTTTACATCTGAGAAATAAAGATGAAAAGCTTAATTTCAAAATGTCAACGTTAAATCGTAAGCAAACTGTTCACGTGCGTCGAGGCACGTACGTCGATAATTTCTATTGTTTGCACGTGGGTGGCTGAATAAATAATACCATCTTTTGCTCAGAAATCCCTGGGAAAGTGATATGAACGTTTAAAAGCGTGTTAATACAACAGATTTTTTACTTCTTCTATAAGGAATTTTAATATGATTTATACATATTAGTAGTAAAATGTAGTAATTCTGGACATACCTAATTTACTAATTAGTCCCCGCGAACTTCGTTTCTCCCTAATGTGATTTTATTTAGCCTACCTTTTTAGTACATACCAACAAGGAACATTTTACTATGCTACCCCAGAGACTGTACGGATTTCTGGAATGAAAACTTTTTAGGTTTTTTTGTGAATTACTCTCTATATAAACTTCAGAGTTCAAGTCATAAATATAAAAAATAAAAGGGGTTAGGGAGCGTTCAAGTATTACGTAACGTATTTTGGGGGTCTTTTTTTTTACTTTACGATGCGGGGCGGGGATTAAATTACACGTTATTGTTAATATTTTTGTCGACTTACACCACATAATAGTAACTAAAGAGTCACTAGGTGGTCACGAAACGTTTTACTATACTTGGGTACAGTATACGTACTGTACATGGGTACTGAAAAACGTGACGACGAGTTACATGGGGGGGCAATAATCTCCAAAAATTGCGTTAGTAATACTTGAACGCTCCCTTAATCGTAGAGGGGTAAACATTTTTATGTTAAACGGTTGTATGTATTTTTATATGCCGTATCATAAAAAAAATAAAAACCTCTTATCACTTAGGTGTTTGAAAGATAGATACTAGCCGACTCTCAGACTTACTGAATATGCATTAAAAAAATTTAATAAGAATCAGTCGAGCCATTTCGGAGGAGTATGGGAACGAACATTGAGACACGAAAATTTGATATATATAGAGATAATAATAATAAATGCCATCGTTGTGTATAGATTTTACTACTAAGTAGGTAAGGAAGGATTTTTTAGTGGATTAAATATAATTACAAATAATATTTAATAGCAAATTTGACTATTTAATGGCAGAAATGAGGAGCATTCCTATTAATAAGAGGCCTAGAAGTTTATATTACATATAAGTACTGTAGTGAAACACACGCTAGTTGGTTTAACACTGATTTATTTTCAATCTACCCTCCATAAGTATATAATAATACCACATCTTCCACCTTATAAATAAAGCTATAAAGCAATCTTAATTCGAATTAACCTCTAATAACTTAGCTGTACACACAAATAATTATAGGTAAGTATGGGTAAGTACCTGAATGTTTTATCATTGAGAAGTTATCTAACACGCTAGTCTAGTTCTAATGTAACTTATAATTATAACTAAACCTTAATAATATAAAGAAAAAACCAACATAAATCAAACACATACAATGGAGGTAAGTACCTACTTACAAAAACCTAGGTACTTAGTTACATTAGGTATTATATTAATCCATCCTCCCCTTTACAGTTCATCAAACACGTAGCTTGTTATTTATAGATTTTATATATATATATATATATATAAAAATCTTATGTAGGTAAGTACTTACTTCAAGTACTAATAAGTACCTATATGCCAAATTTATCATTAGTAATTTATCAAAACAAATTATTTAAATCAAATCCTAAGCCAGCGCGTTCGAGTGTTCGACTTACGGGACCGGTAACAATGGACGTCGGTGTGTCGAAGGCGCTCGCAGAGGACAACACTCCCTTATCAGTGATCAGCTGTTGTGCGGAACAGCTGTCCTCCACTATGTATGTGACCTAGGCTCTGAGGATTTCGCAATGGCCTTGACAGGTCTCCCTATATTATCCCCTGCCAGAACTACCCTATCACCCTGTTTAAGCGTAGGTAGGTCCCTAGCCGTCTTATTATAATTTGAATTAGATTTTTTCTTATAACTCATTAGCGCTTGATAATTTTTTGAATTATCAACTGATTCATACATTAATTTTCTACTTATTGGTATTGTGCAAACGGCGGCCCATAAGTATTTAGGCTGGAAAATCCATATTGTCCCGCGGAGTCGTTCTAAAATTAAATAAGCTTAAGGTCGATTTACATCAAACGAACATAGAGCTAGAGCTAGAACAAGAGCATTCTTTCGTAATCTTTTAGTGTAAACGAAAGCTAGAGGTATCGATTTACATCAAACGAACATAGAGCTAGAGCTAGAACACAAGAACGCTTTGAAAAGACCGCTCAGTGGCGCGAGCACGTCCGAACACGCTAGAACGCTCTAAGCAACTGTTCGCGCGCTCTTGCGCCGTTTACATCAAGCGAACGAGCATTCTTAGAATATTCTATAGAATCTCTGCGAACGCACTAAGAACAACGAAAGAATGCTCTACGCCTGTTTACACTAGAATAATTTGATGTAGTGGGGATAGAATGAGCATTCGCTCGTTTGATGTAAATCGACCTTAGATGAAAGTCATGACCTGAATCAATGCACTTTTTTTTTTGAATTTTATTCCAATTTCTCTTACTCGCTCTAATAACTTTTCTAGCCGACTGTCATGTTCCTCTTCAGTTTTTCCCCATACAATAATATCATCTATGAAAGACTCCGTACCCTCTAAATCCTCTAAGTATTGACGAATTTTAGCATGAAATACCTCACTAGCGCAGTTGACACCGTACGGTAGGCGTAAGAATTGGTATCTGCCAAACGGCGTGCTGCGGCCGTGCAGAGGTCCGCGCTCGCATCATCCAGCTCGATCATCCAGAAGCCGGAGCGGGCATCTAGCAGACTGAACCAGCCCGCCCCGCGCAGGCGCGCCGCCAGCTCGCTCACTGTCGGCAGCGCGTAGTGCGCGCGGCGCACGGCGCGGTTTAATGGTCGCGGGTCGAGGCACAAACGAATATCGCCAGCATTCACCCAATTGGTCGGATGAGTCACCTTCCTAATTACACCGAGGTCCATCATTCTTTGTAACTCACAGAGGAGTTTATCACGCATACCTAACGGTATTTTTCTCGCAGAACATACAACTGGCTGAACGGATTCGTCTATAGAAATAGTGTATTTTCCAGGCAATTTACCTAGCCCATGAAACAAATCATTATATTGTCTATTAATATTTATACTGTTCACTCTGTTTATTAGGTTCATGTGAATGCATGCGCCTAAACCAATAACACTTTGACATTGAAAATCAGCAATAACAAACGATAAGATGTACGCTGTATTTTTATAAAATAATTGAATGTTTGTTTCTCCTACAATAGCTATATTGTTTCCTGTAAATGAGTGAACTCTTTTATGAAATGGTCTTAAATTGCTCAGAGAATAACCTAACTGCAAATATAAACTTTTAGGTAATACATTTAGCAACGACCCTGTATCTAATTTACATGAAATATTCTTACCGTTGCATACAAAAATCTCAAACCATTCCTTATTGTTATGGTCCTTGTTATCCTCAAGAGTGTTAACGTAAAACAACTCATCACTAGAATCATCCTCGACACTGAGATTCATCACTTTTTGCCCACGATGGACACACATTTTCGCAAAATGACCTTTTTTATCACACACAAAACACGAAGCACTATGTGCTGGGCACTTGTCCCCTCCAGCACACCTATAGTAGCCGCAGGAGGCGCAAGCGTCGCGCGGCGTGGCCCAGCGCCTGCCCCGCCAGCTGCCGCGGCCCCGTGCTCCGTCCTGCTGTTCACAGCGTCCACCTGGAGGTCCCTTCTATGCAGCGACTTTCCTCTTTGGATAGTTCGGCGGCCTCACACACTTGCACTGCCTTCGCCAAACTGAGGTCGTCGGTCCGCAGCAGACGGTCTCGGACGGTGTTGCTCGCTATTCCACACACTATCCGATCCTTGATCAAGCTATCAGTTAGATCCCCAAAGACACAATTTTGACTTAGCAACCGCAACGCCGTCACAAATTGATCAATTGTTTCACCTTGCTCTTGATTGCGTGAGAAAAACTTAAACCTTGACATTGTGATATTAGGTTTGGTACCAAAGTGCGCATCAAATTTTGTCAAGAGACATTTAAGGTTATGTTCACTTTCATCCTTGAGATATGTGAATGTACTAAAGATCTCGTAGCCGCTCAGACCGATGAGGTTAACCAACAAACTGACCTGAATCTCTTCAGACTCCTTGCTCACCCCGGATGCTATGAGAAACGCCTCAAACTGTTTCCGCCATTTTCGCCTCGCGTCGGCGCGCGCGGCTGGACCACCTTCGACCATTAATTCACCCGGAGGACGCGCGTGTTCCATTATAATTATCACAAACGGTTTTAATAATCACCTAATAGACACTGATACCAAAATACACCGTGATATCTCAAATATTTAATAAAATTTAAGCACCGCTGTCACCATGTAGTGAAACACACGCTAGTTGGTTTAACACTGATTTATTTTCAATCTACCCTCCATAAGTACATAATAATACTACAAGTACAATGTACATACATATGTCTAGCCTGTCTCCCAAGGGGTATATGAGACTTGACACATAGTTGCCAAGGTTAATTGGGCACGATATATACATATTGAAGTAAATATTTGTACTTAACTTCCGTATGAGCGAAATAACCGATCATAACAAATTGGGCTGAGCGCATTTATAAATTGACACACCCCTTCAATTCTTTCAAAGTAATTGCCCCATTTTTTATTGCATTGTAAATAAGGACGCTTTGATTCACATAATGTTGGAGGTGATAAAATGTAATTTTCAATTTACAACACAAAAAATGTGTCGGGTTTTACGATCCTTATAATTTTTCAATTTTCCTCGTTTTCATTTAAATTTTATGCAGAAAAACGAAGGTTTTTTATTGCCATTTTCTTCCTATGCCCTTTGGTGCAAAGATGAGTGTAATTATTATGCAAGAAACGCGTTCACATACCTTCTGACCGTAACTTTTTTATACAAACAAACAGACAGCTGGCTTACCTAATGTTAAGTGACACTGCCTACAAAGCCTGCCTAAAAAGATGCAGGATGTAGTTTTTTTCGAATTTTAATAAGATATAGTCAAAAAAGTCAATTTTCTTATACAAACGCAAAATAAATTGTAACTCTGCAGGAGTTGAGCTTAGAGACCTCCCGTAGAAAATTTTTTTGCAGCTGATGACATCATCTATCCCCTATTTGCGTTTGATCCACAACTTTTTGGCCACCCTGTATATATAATGTACTATTTTAATATCATTCTTTGCAAAAGTACTATAATTTTCAATCTATTGGCCAAGATCGGGTAGTGAAGGCTTTCTGAACTGGCCTAGTGGTCGGAGACCATTTCGATGGTGAAGTACCTGCTAGAGCTAAAAGCCAGAAATTGGTAGGAGGTGGCAAAGGACACTGAGCACTGCAATATTCACCTTTCTGAGGCCAATACACGTTTTGGGGCGGAGTGATTGAGTATCATTTCTATGTAACTAATTGTAACCAATTGATTCAACGTAATTTTGTGAATAAAATAATATTTCTACCAATTTACAAACTAAAATATCTAAAGCAACACAGTTAGTGTTTAGCAACTTATTAGTTTAGTGGAAACATTTACATTTAGTCTGCTCACATTTAATTCCCAGAGCAAAACATGAAAGCAATATAATTACAACTTCGACTTGAGTTAAACCGATTTTAAACGGGTTATAAGTTTAATGTATTTTTAATATCGGAAGTTGGTTATGAGCAAGCACTCGCATTGCTTCTTTTAAAATGTATTTTTTTATGTACATATATACCAACGGTCTAGTTTACCTATATGTAACTTGCCTATATATTAATATTAAACTAGTGAACGCCGTGGATTCCCTGCATACACGTCTAGAATACAACAATTTACCGTAAAGAAAAATCAAATACACTTGAACACACAAAGAAATCATCAAAATTGGACCGATTTGGACCGGACCTGACGAAAGCCGTTTACGGGGAGGTTTTGATTGATGAAACATACAGGAGATTTATATATATGTATAGAGGATACTCGAATATGTCCCCATAAAGGTTGGCTGTAAAGAATAATATTTATTTATTTATTAGTTCTAAAACAACATGTATATGCTTAAAATATACAACAAAATATAGGTTCACAAATTTTACACACATACATATCAATTATATTAAAACATAGAAATTTAAAACTAAAAGGAAAAAAATTTAATACAAGCAAACAGAAAAAAACAAATACTATAGATACGTATATACTATTAGTTCTAATAAATGTGAGAGGTACGAACACAAATTAATTATTATATAATATTTATTTTCTTATCTCAACATTCATCGGACTTAAATTATTTGTCTAGCGTATTCGCTAATAATAAATATCAATAACCCACTTGGGTCACATCGGTGTACTTTGATCTTATCAAGCCAGAATAAAGATCGACTAGTGAAATTGCCGAAACCTCAAAGTTTTTTTATTACACTGCGTGGGCCAGACCCACACATTATGATATAAATATATGATAGTAAAATAGCATTTGTTGACGATACATTTTTAGTATTTGTATTTTTACTGTATTGACTCGGGTCTACATTACTCTAGTAGACATCTTAAAATAGATCCATCGCCCAAACAATATATTTCACGAATTTGCCAGATTTTAATCAAACATAATAGGGCTACCCGGCGAAGCCTTAGAGCAGAATCTTGGCTAAACTTGAACCCAATATTGTACAAAATAGTCAAATAGAACATTATGCTTGATCAGATCAAAGCTGTTTTGCCTAAAAGCACTAATATTATTGCTAAAGTGTATAGAAACAAATTAATAAGTGTAAATAAAAACCTTTTCACCTTTTTGTGACAAAGTTTTTTATCCTCCTGACTTTGCAGACTATTTCGCAAACGGCCTAATAATAGTATATTAGTTATATTCAAGAATATTTGGATACGGTCGTTAACAATTGGATTAATACGCCTTCATAGCTTAAGACGTGAACCGAACTTATGTATGGTGTTATCACGATTACCGTGAATGTCCTATGAAAACAAGAAAACCTAAGTGTACAAGTAGTATATATATGTTGGAGCATTTGCAAAACTACATTGACAAAAAGGCTTCTTTTTTGTTTTACATATATTTTTTTATATAAATAACTTGCGTAATATCGACCGCATTATAAAATATCTTACAAAAATATGACATTCCGTCTCAACCTTCATAAATTCCACGGAAAGCCATCTTATTTACTTTTATAGGCTTTTTCACATGTGCGTAAAACGTAAGCTTTTAAGTCTGTGGTTTACTTAGTAGTTTTTTTGCAAATTTTTCCTAATTTTCTTTAATGACTTTAGGAAAGGATGGTAGTATCTTACATTTTAATTTGTCACTAGAATTAAGATTATTTTTTCCAACCAAACGACAACGTCATTTTACAAGCCCTAAATTTCTTCACTAATCAAAATCTGTAATGAGATTTATTTCTGCGCCCATTTCAATAAATTTTTGAGGCAAGTTAGAAGTAGCTTGTACCTGACCGATATGAACTTCTAGGTTATTATATCGGTTATGTTATCTTTTTTTTATAGAAAATGTTAAGTGATAGCGCCGCCCACGGACACTCTCAATGCCAGAGGTCTCATGAGTGCTTTGCCGGCCTTTGAAATTATATTGCGCACATTGAAATAAAACTTAAAAAGTTTTGCGCGCAAGCCAAGTTTCGAATAAATAAATGATTCATAATGACACTTTCGCCTTACAATGATATAACAAACTTAAGTATTAACTAAATCCGTCTATAATGCTAGAACACTTAAATTGTGTTAGATGCGAAAGGAATGTTGTTACTTTTTTATTTTCTTTCACGCGTTATCCCTTTGTTGAACGAGAATGTCTTTCAACAGAGAAAATGTTTTGTTATTCGTGGCTTAAGAGTATCCGCAGATTATAAATAAAATGATATAACACACAAATACAGATATTGTTTAATAACTAAATCACTAAGTATTATGGTACCTATAGCCTTATTATGTATGATAGTAGAGTAGAATACCATAGCATTTGGGGGTATGGTGCAGACGCGTTTTTTTCAAAATTTAACATTAATATTCGACATTAAACATTAATATTTTTAAACTCATTATTAGTGAAATGATTAAACTTTCTTAGTTTATACCACATGATCAGTAAAACGATGTCCATTACCACATTTTAATCTCGAACCTTCATCACTTAACGGCTTAATAATCACATGAAATAATATCCAATTTCAACCCTTCTAGCGAATCAGCACATTATCAACGTAACCATCAAAATCACACAATTTACCACACAATGAAATATTTCGTGGGTAAAATCTCGAATGTCGGCTCCGTTTCACTGTAAAAACCAAACCGAGCAAAGTTCGTAATTTCGCTTCGTCCCAAACGTTATAAAATATGAATCGGAACCAGCCCTTGGTGAAGAACGCGATATCCAAGCGCTTGTACTGGGGAATGTGGTTTGTTAAATATCGTTATGACACAGTTTTACTTGTCCAATATGTTATCATATACCTTGTCATACCATATATAATTAGTTGTAACGCATATTAGTAACGTAATTCAAGAAAACCCTGCCACGTTGAAGGTGAAGTTTTTAGGTATACAATTTTTTATTTAAGAATGTTAATAAGTCTAAAAACTTAAGTTGGCTTAGTGAAGTGTTTAAATGATATATGTTAAAATTTATACTGAGAACTTTAGATATTTAAATTTTTTCATCGGAGAAATGAAGGCTTTTGTCAGTTCAAACAACGTTTCAGTTAACGTGGTAGCGCTATATTTGTTGAAAAGCGCAGTTAACTTACACCAGATGTGACGCTAAAAGCGCTGAATTGGTGGTACTGATTTTGCTTAGCCCAACCGATGTAAAATGTGAAACGGATAGTGTCCGTCCCGCTCAATCGGGCATGCTCGGATTCGCTCGGGCGGTATCGTTCCGCCGTAGCGGTAGTCTCGTAGCAGCGGAACGTGTGCTACGCCGTGCCACGAATTTCTTTCCGGGCAAAACTCTGGTTAAGTGTACAGTGATTTTGAGTGCGAAACAGATAGTGGGATTATGTGCTGTGTACAGTGTTATGACTAATCAAGGTTTTGGAAAATGGTAAATAGTTATTTTTTTAATAATTATGAAAAGCTAAGTGTTATTCATAATTTTTTCAGAGTCATCGGTTTATGGGTCGGTTCCGTTTGACATAGAGAAATTACTTTCACCTATTGTTGACTGTTCTATACATTTTATATAGGTCTTGCGTGCCAATGAGTCCATGG